ATATATATATATCCAGGAAGTAGATTAACGTGTCACAGCTTAAATGTCGTGATTTTTGATTTATTAAAATAAAATGGATATATATGCGATGTGATGCAGCTTTACACGGCAGTCACGGTGGTGTTAATTTTGCAAACCTTTTACTATGACTACTATGGCAGACTTCGGAAAGCGAATAATTCCCTCACTAAAGCTGATGATGATGAGGATGGGGTGAGTTTCTTCTTCCAAATTCCCTTCAATTTTCTGCTTAATTTAACTGTAGCCATTGATAAGTTGGCTGTATACACGTACAACATTTTAGTATGTTTTTTAATTTTCTTTTTTAATCAGATATAAAAGAGCGCGAATAATGTAACAGGCCTCTTGTATTTTAGATTCAATTTCAACAGGCTATCTAATTAATCAGCTACAATAAATTAATGTGCTATGCAGGACCATGTAGAAGCAATGAAGAAACCTTTAATTGATCCAAAGCGCAAGGGCGAAGTCAAAGCCGTACCAACTAAGACTTCAAATAGAGGGTCTCCGCGCACTGACACCTATTACATGTATAGACAGACCATTTACTACTAATTAACATCTTTCATTTAATTAACGCGACGTCGATTAATGCCACTAAGTTTTGGTTAATGGAAGAAACTGTTAAAATGTGTTATGGTGGATGAATGGTTGGCAGGTCGGCGAGGTCCTTGACAAGCAGTACCGGGACGCCGTCGTACCTACAAACAACGCATCTAGTTGGCAGATTTGGCAGCGGGCCTTCAACCGTGGCAGCAATGCACGACTCCTCCTCTGACGAGGAAGAGGACACCGGCGATGCCCATTTTTATTCCAATCTATTCCCCAAGCCCACCTCCTCTACAGCTGTGAGTATTCGATTTTTATATTTCCTTATATTGTTTGCTTCTCCACTTGCTAGCTAATTATAATAACCAAAAATCACAAAATGATAACACGGCTCCAACGTTATTTGTCCCTTTCTCATTTGGAATAAAACTACATCACCATTTGTTAATCGACTGCATCGATGGATAATTATCATATTATTAAATTTCTTTCTCTGCCAAGTATACGTTTTTTTCATGTTTTCTTGGCCTTTTATGGTGTCTTTTCCTCTTAATTTGTCTGGTTATGCAGACGTATAGCAAGGCTAGTGGTGAAATGTAAGGGAGGATAACTGGATAAGGATGTATGAAATTTAATTTTCTTAGATATTTTTTTTGTAGAATATGTATGGATGATTAAATTGGACTTTACAAAATTTGCACTTCCACGTTAGCATACGTACTTGAGATTATTTGTTTGATTTGAATATCGATCGATCAATCTTAAATAATATCGATGCACCGCATCTTTCTAGTTCTTAAGCCAAATCCTATAAGGCTGAACAAAAATATTTCTTTTTTTTTCCTTTGCTTTTTGACATGATTCAAATTTGTTCGGATTTTGATATTGATGTATTTATAGTTATCCGATAAAAAAAAAAAAACCTAGTTCTCTTATAATCACACTAAAATTACAGAAGAAAAAGAAAAAAAGAAATTGAGTCTCAAAGAATTCATTTCAGGAGTTGATTTATAGAACTCCATAGAATCTGTTCAGACTAAAAAGAGCCAATCAAATTGTTCTTTTAAAAATTGGGTTCAAATAATAATAATAAAAAAAAGAAATCTCAAATAATAAGTGGGATAAAAATCAAAATTTATGCTCCCAACCCTTGCATGCATGAAACATAAACTCCTTTTTTCCATGCCAAATTTCCCAAGAGTGACATGTGACTTTGGGATATATATAATGGTTATCAATATCTAGAATTGCACTTAGAGTTGCCTCCACTAGTTCAATTCCTTAATAATAAAGAGGCATTACACTATATACTCTGCTTTCAGATGAGAACTACCCAAACAACTAATTTTAATGGCCTTATATTGAGTAGTAAGGGAAAAAAAAGGGAGCCCAAGTTCATTTAAAATTTGATGAAGATAAATTTTAATATTAAAATATTAACATAACTTATCACATAAAAAAGAACCATAAAAATAACCTATAAAATTTCCTAGAGATTTTAAGGGAATTAGTGCCACACAAGATTCTTAAGATCTTTATGATGAAAATTTTAATTTTCCAAAATAATTCCCATCAAAATTTCTCTCTCCAAGATTTTAGAAGATAGCATACATATGTATTGGTGAGGGTCCTTTATCCTCTTGAAAATGAACGGAAGGGGTTTTAATTATTTCCAAAATTACTTCTAAATTCTATTGAATAACTAGGAACCAAATCAAGAAATTTTAATTCAAAAACCTTAGAATGGCTAACCATCTATTCACACACACACACACACATATTCAAAAATTATATGTATGATCAAATATTTTTCACAAAAAAATTAAATTGATCACACACACACACTCACACAAATTGCACACCCAATCAACTGATGATATTTGCCAATGATATATTTTCCATAGTGGCTAACTAATGGCTAAATAATGTATAAATCTCAGCTACCACTTATGTTAGATCATCTGTATAATCGAGCAATGAATATATAATCAGTAATCATTCATAATATCAACAATCATTGAATGGCTCGATAGTACATAGAAATGTCACAAAAATTATGCTTTATAGCTTTCAAATGAAGCATAATTATTTACTTAACTTGTCTACATATACATCAAAATAATTAATATCTCAGTGTACATAACATAAATAATTTGAAATAATTTTGTGTATCTACAAATAAGAAGTTAAATATTTTACTTTGTTTTCATCATTATAGGATCACACGATTAGCTAAACTTAAAATAAATTAACTTTATAATGAATTATGAACTCAATAAATTAAGCTATATCAAATGTTTTGAAGTTTTCAGGTTCTTTATAAATGAAACCTTTAGGATTCAGGTGATCAATCATTCTTACAATTACATGGATATCAAAACTTCATTTTCATGGTTTCTATGAAACAATACTTGGAATAAAAGACTTTCCAAAATAGTAATAAACAAAACATAATATTTACTATCATTAAATCAAATAGTGAGCCATATAATTCACCTGTGCACATGTGGCCATCACGTATCATGCTTTATGGACATCTTCCCATAATTATGAAGCCAATAGTAAAATTTTTTTCTAAGCATGATATATAATAGGCTCGATGGCAATTTCTTGGGGTTTTGGTGGCTGCAATTTTTTTTTCTTGGAGAGTAATGAAAAATTATTTTGCTTTTTTTTTCGTTTGACTATTATCTTCTTAAGATATATAATTATATACATAAAATCCAAAACTTTTGTATTTATAAAACTAGCAATTAAATTCTTGGGGTATTTACAAACATATCACACAATTAATTCTTATGTGTTTACATATTTAACATCTAAACATATTCATATTTACTTGTATACCACTCAAATCTCTTACATCACATAAAAAATATCACCTTTATTATATTTTAAAAAGTGAAATGTACTTTTCATGCATAGGCTTATGATACCAAGGAATTATAAGTCTAAATATCAAACTTTGGGTGTTAGATATCATATCTAATTACATAAGAATTTAATGGTATGAATGTAAAATTCTCATTCTTTTTTTGAACTACTAAAATGCCTTACTATGTATTAAGACATGCCACAATCCAATCATTGGAATTTTGATACAAGCTAATAAAAGAAGTTGGATTTCAATGTGAATTTTGATATTTGTGTGAAAATTTTAAAAATGAATGCAAGTGGGTACCAGTTAAAAAAAATGTTTGAGAACTATATATATATATATCTGTGTGATCGATCACCCCCTTTTAACAAGCATAATTTCTTCAAACTTTTGTTTAATCTTTTTGAACCCTTACATTAAATTTGTATAATTTCTTATTGTTATAAAATTACAATGGAGATGTTTTAAATATGTCACAGTTTTATAGTAGAAGATAAACTTGATAATTGTTTGTTGGAATAATGCTTATAGAATATGTAAAAAGTAGAACTTTATGGTTTTTCTTTTATGGAGAATTAGTGAGCTATTCATCAAATATTACCGTTATAATATTTAATTTTAATTTCATGAATAATATCTATCCTATACCCTATTAATGTCTTCTTTATGTTGTCATGATTTTCCACACTTCAAATTGCACCATTTGATATTGGATCTAAAACCTAAAAATTTATTGTATGCTAGATCAAATTCGAGGGCTTTTCCCTTTCATTGTAATATTATTATGTTATTATTATGCTTCTAAAATTTTGTAATTACTGTTTTTTTATTTAAGCAGTATGAGATTATCCTTTGCCATCAATTATATAATTAGTTATGGGCTTATTTGTTATCTTATATTGAATCTTCGGTAAGTGCCAAGCTTCTTTGAAATAATGTTGGAAGAGTAAATTTGTATTACATGTAGCTTTTGTTCTTTCACAAAATTTTTGGGTGTTCAATCTCTCCAACCCTGCAAGAAGTTAGGTTTGATAGCTAGCTAGTGTTGAATATTTGGAAGAATCTCTACTCTTTTTTGGAATGTTGCTTAGGATTAATTATTTGAAATTTTCATGTTGAGTTTAAGGGCAGTATCTTTGTTATCTTAGTTTTTATTTTCAATTCATTATTTTAGTTTCTTATTCGATACATGTTACTTCTTTGTGATCATTTATTTTTCTTCTATCATTGAAGCAATATTATTTTCAACTACTATCAAATATTTTAAAAATATGGAGTAAAGTTCTTGAAGAAGTTAAGGATGGTGTAGAATAAAAATATGGAGAAAAGTTCTTGAAGAAGTTAAGGATGGTTGTTTTCATATAAATTTAGCAAGAAATAGTATTTTATATAGAAATAAACCAAACTTTAATCAACATAAAATTGAAAGGAATTATATTTTTATCATTATCGCTATAACACAGAGAGTGTATTAGCATCACTACCATCTAAAGATAGAAAGATTCAAGTTTACATCATATTATCAAAATATAGGCAATGGTAATTTTGTTATTTCCATGTAAAAAAAGGAAACAATTTGATATTTTTCATCTTCATTAAATTTGGAGGAGTAAATAAATTTTTAATGCCCGAAAAGGCACTAATATGAGTTCGCTCACTGTCCAAAATGATCTTGAATGAAATCCAATAAAAAAGAGCTTGACAATTCTGGCCTTCCTGCTCTCCACTCTTTATTTTATGACTAGAATACAAGGTTGCTTCATTCAAGCAAGCAATCAACCCATCAACCAATCAAATAAAGAAGTCAAGAGTTTATTAACCAATGAAATATTCATACATTGTAGCTCAAGATTTTCATGAAATTATATGGAGATTCCATGAACATGAACTAGTTTTTTCAGTAAAAAATAGACTTGATTGATGTATATTAGAGCATTTTTGGTATCCAATAAAGAATGTTGAGCTTAGTGGCTCTCTTCTCATGAAGATTTTGTAGAGTCTTTCATCAAATTTACATTTGTAATTTTATATATTTTTTCTTATGAATAATATCCATCATTTTTCTCTTTTCATGTTTTCTTTATATTGTCATTCTCTATCTATATTAGGAGTGAAGGGAAACTTGCAAGACTTGAATTAGCTTTTCTCTAACTTTGCCTTGCATTGGAAATCCAAAAATATATGTGCTTTGAATGACTTCTTACATGAATAGCTAATTTAAACTTGGTTGTATGAAGAGAATCCATCAACATGCCATATATTTACACCTTTGAATGCTTTTGGATTGGCTGAGGTTAATTAGACAAACCATAAATTGTTCGTAAATACTACGTCTCCTTCATAACTTTAATATTACAAATATAAATTAGACTGTAATGTAATAATAATAGTTGATTTCTTCTTATCATGAGAAAATATAAT